TTTTATTTTATTTTATTTTATTTTTATTATTTTATTATTAATATTATTTAATTTAGAAAAGACTTTATGCAAAAAGCCCCTTTTCACTGCGATCTGTTTCTGAGGAGAGGAGCTGGAGGATGAGAGAACAGCAATCATGATGATTATTGTACAGATACTAAAATATCAGGGCTTCCTGGGATTATTTTTTTGCTAGTCTGAATAGAATTGATATTTTTCTTCATGGTTAATTCCCTGAACTGATAGTAAATATAACAAAATCTCTATTTCCATTACTAATAATGCTGAAGAAAAGCTGAAAAGTAGAAATATTGAAGCCTCCAAATCAGAAAGTAAATTAAAAAGATTATGCAATTATGCTGAAGGAAGAATTGGTCATAAATTAGAGGTTTTTAAGGGTAATAGATAAGGGAGAAAGAAGCTGCTCTTCGGGCTGCTCTGCCCACCCCCATTCCCAAACTCTGGAAGCCGTGTGGTGTTACAGCTTGGGGATCCCCTGGAGGAAATATTCACGCTGGTTTGCTGTGCTGCAGCTGGCTGCTCGGGGACCCATTCCCTGCCTCACACTCACATCTATCAGCTCAATCACATCATTTTCCATGACCAAAAATCCCTGAATCCTGGGAGGACATCCAGACATGGATATGGGGAGAGGACCACATCCTGCCCCAGGTCCCCTGGGATGGGTGAGACCTTCAAGCCATAAAATATTCCTGGATCATTGTGGATAGGTGCTGCTGTGTTTTACCCAGCGTGTGAGATGCTCTCTGTGCTCGCTGGGAATTTGCAAAATTAATTTGTGCCACGTCCAACATCATTGTGGGGTTTTTTTTTAGGTTTCATATACTGGTTTGGTTATCTGGTGGGTTCTGTGTTGCTGTTTGCATGTAAAATCTGACCAGGTCACCTCCAGACAGGACATTAACTGGTATTTAATATAAATAGAGAAAAATACAGGGGAAAAAAATGGATTCACTTTCCCTTTCTTCCTTTTCAAGTGATTTTGGTAAGAAATGAAAATAAAATGGGGGAAAAACTAACTCTGGAAGAATGTGGTCATGAGACATACAGCTTTGAAATGGCTTTAGATGAAACCAGCATCTGCTTAGCACCAGGGCTGGCCACTCCAGAGCACCAGCCCCGTCCTGGAGCAGCCACCGACTCTTGATTTTCTCTGTCGCTTTTCTACCAAATTCTGAAAGTGTTCATTGATTCATCTCAGAAAGGAGAATGTTGAAACGACACGTGTGTGTGAAGTTTCAGGAGACACCTATAGAATTCAAGTATATGGTTCAAATTGCATGGGAAGCCAAGTAAAATTAGTCAATTCCTGTGAGCAGGGAGGTTCAAAAAAATGTCTCTTTCAGGCTGAATAAGTTTTTTTGTTCTTAGATAGAAGGGGAAAAAGCTGCTGGTAATTTGCATGAAAAATAGGGAACCTAAAATAGCAAAGGTGGAGGTGTAACAGGAGATTATTGGTCATATAGTGAGGGACAGACCCAGCAGGTCCGTGTGGAGCTGGATCTCATCGTGGTCCCCATCAAATGAATGGGATTAGACATGTGTGAATATTGTTCTTAGACAAGGGCCAAGTAAAAACAACAACAAATAACGTATGGGCAGATCTTCCCATTTTCCAGGAGCTGATTTTTGGAGCGGGTTCGTGCTTGGATGGACACCACCAGCAGGGAGATGTGGTGGGGGAGTAGGAGTCCTCCAAGGTTTCCTTGGCTGTGAACATCAGCTAGCCCAGCCTGGATGATTTCTGGTTTTGTTTTCAGGTGGGAGCTCCAGTTCTTCTCCAGTGACCTCCAGCGGTGGGACACCCTCTCCTCTCAACCCCCTGCTCTCTCCATCGTGCTCACCTCCTACGTTTCACTTGTCAGCCAGCAACATCGGCGTGTCGTGCCCCGAGACCTACCTACACAACCTCAACCTGCCCCTCTACTACAAGATCTGTCCTACGAGCTTCTTAAGACAACAGCCTCTCATCTTTCCAAGCCACGAGAAACTAGCAGGTGCCAACCCACATCTTGTACCCCACTTGATGGTGGACGTGCCAAAACTGTCTTCCCTCGGCATAACCAATCTGAAAAATACTAAAGCCGAAGAGTTCAGCGGGCAATGTCTACAAGGACCCAGTTCTGCTAGTCAAATGCTGTATGGATTACATACATCTGGAAACATTTTCCCATCAAGTCCCATTGCTCGGGAAGCACTTAATTGTTCTTTACATCCTCCATATGGCTTGTATGGTTATAACTTCTCCATGCCATCTAGACTGATGAACGCAGCAAACCATTTCAAAGTGAGTGACAGCATCCCGGCGTCTCTGCGAGATGGCAGATGTCACCACTCCAGCTGGCACCCGACCATTAACCTTTAGTGGAGTTCTACGTTATTTCTGAGCGGTGATATGTAGAACAAGCCTCTTCTTCCTTCCTTCCTTCCTACCCAAGGGCTTCCCAGTTACTGACTGTGAAATACTTCATGGTACTTCATGTGTCTAGGCATTGAACTTTTTTTTGTGGGCAAACCTGTTGTGTTGTTGGGAAGGTGGAGGATCAGGGAGGGTGGAGGTCACCTGAGATGATCCGCAGCGAGGTGGTACCTTTTGGTGATATTTAAGTCACGGTTGTAGGTGAAGAGCAAACTGTGCAGCCACCTTTTTCATATTTGCACTCTGAAGTGGGAACACGGACGTGTAGATTTGCTACAAATCTGGTTTCCCTCAGCTCTCTCTCCAGCTTGTCCTTCCTTAGCTCCAAGCCCCACTGAGCCTCTGCTCACCCTACTGAGTTTTTCCACTGATTTCAAAGGGACTCTTTGAGACCTAAGTCAGCAAAGGAGTCGTATTTACCCAAGTGCAACAGCATGTTCTCAGGTTCCCCTGGCTTCAGCAGGTTCTAGTTAATGACATGAAGGTACCTTATTCCTCCAGGACCCAGATGTCTCAGTTATCACAACTGGGATGTAAATTCAAGTGTCTGCTGCCAAGGTAAAGAAAGATGGGATAAAAGATGGATGTGTTCCTGAAAGAGGGGAGGTTTAGATGAGATATTAGGAAGAAGTTCTTCACTGTGAGGGTGGTGAGACACTGGAACAGGTTGTCCAAGGAAGTTGTAGATGCCCCCTCCCTGGAAGTATTGAAGGCCAGGTTGGATGAGGCTTTGAGCAACCTGGTCTAGTGGAAGGTGTCCCTGCTGCTGGCAGGGGGGTTGGAACTGGATGATCTTTAAGGTCCCTTCCAACCCAAACCATTCTATGATTCTATGATTCTACCTTGTGTGGATGAGATGCAGGGGTGCTTCAAAAGCCCTCCTCTCCGTGGTCCTGCTTCCAGAGGTCTCCAGGAGGTGGAAGTGTAGAGCAGCACCAGCATGGACAGTGTGGTGGGAAGGAATAGGGGATGGGTGGCCATATCCATGCTGGGGGACACGGTGGATACAGCTCAGAGAGCTGTGTGGGATGAAACACCTCCAGGAGCTCTGCAGGATCCTCCTCATCCCTGGGACACACAGAAGGTCCACCTGGAACCATGTCCACCAGCCTGTGCCCAAGGTAAAGGGACAGGGATGCTCCTGACTCGGTCCCATGGAGAACACAGATCCTTTCTGGAGAATTACAACTCAAAGGGCCCCAAAACGTGAGATTTTCAATCCCTTCCAAAAGTCTCATTTGTTTTGTTACAACCTGTGGATGTTCTTGTTGTTCCTGTAGATCATCTCTAGCTCCAACAGAACTCGCAATAAATTGGGGGACAGGTTTTTACTCTTTATTTGATCAATATTTTTATTACTTGATATATGACAGAGGTTTGAAAATAATGCTTGACTGGGACCGGCTGCATTTTGGGATTAAGATGAGAGAATTCTGTATTTACAGACCCAACCCGGCCCCGTACGGGGATGAAGTGCAGGTTGGAGAATCAAACCTGCTATCAGAGTCCTGGTTGTATTTTAATCCATGACAGACAACAAATTAAGAGCAGAACAAGCAATATCAAAGCTGTTAAAATAACAAAAAGTCACACTTTTACTTCCACGAGACTTTGCCAAAAATCAACCAACATTGGTTTCCTGCTTTGAGTGTTCCCAGAGCCCCCAGTGATAACCAGTATGAAGCAGTGGGCCGTGCTTTCCTTGCTTAATGGTCTGTACAGCTGTAAAAATGAGCAAACCTGCTTCCTCGTGCTGTTTCTTAGCAGTTTATCTCACTATTTTTATTAAAAAACCAAACAAACACACTTTTTTTTTCATTCAGGAGTCCTCATTTCCAAGCCATCCCTCGGTGGTGGGTAGTGGGTGAGTTCCCAAGGTGGGACTGGGATGGGCTCTGCAAAGAGCTGCAGATCTTTGCTCCCCCACGGGCCGAGCGACCAAGCACCAGCCCCTACATGTGGTTGTACTTTGGGGAGCTGGAAAGCTCTTCCAGATCAGTCACAGATTCGTGGGTGGATGCAGTGGGTAACTTCCAATTTTCCAAATATTTGTGGTTGCATAGGCCAGGCCAGAGTTGCTGGTCATGAGCTGGTGATTCAGCAGATCAGTGTCTGTCTAGTTCAAAATGTGACTGGTAATGACTAGAATAGATATTTCCAGTACAGACAACTCTACAGTGGTAGTTATTTCAACTTGGAGCAGATAAATTCCATCTACTACAGCTGAGCAAATGCTCTTTTTGATGGGACTCATTCCTACGGGGAGGTGCCGTGTGGGTCAGCGTGGGTGCAGCAGACGTACAAACACCAACGAGCTCCATACGAGAGGTCACCACGGCCTGGGAGAGACTCAGGTCTGGGTTATCTGAGGTTACTTTCTATTTTCTTTGCCTTTTTCTCTTGATTTATCCTTTCAAATATCACTGTAACAAATAAAAGAGGTGTTGATGGTTCTTTACAAATCATAAAGTGGTGGAGTCACCATCCCTGGAGGGGTCCAAGACACGTGTGGAGGTAGCACTAGGGGATATGGTTTAGAGGACATGGTGGTGATGAGTTGAGGGTTGGACTGGATGATCTTAGAGATCTTTTCCAACCTTAACGATTCTGTGAAATCAGTATTTTCAGGAGGTCAGAGGTCTCTATCCTGATGCCCACGTTGTCACCCCAGACCCAGCCAAGGCTCCCCGACCATCCCAGCCTGGGAGCATTTTCCACGCCCGCAGTGGGAATTCAGCTGAATCGCTCACACTGTAAGAGATGGTTCTGCTTAGAGAAGAAAAAAACGGTGTCCAAAAGAGTGGACAACCTGTGTGCTGCTTTCAAAAACAGCTGCTGGTGGGGGGTGAGGAGCAAAACTCGAGAGAGCAAGTCAGTCTAATAAATCATTAGTTATTAAATGTGAAACTGGGGGAATCGAGGTCAATATTTCAAGTGGGACCACACGCCTGTAAATCCAGCCACGTTACATGTCACTTTGCACTTCCACCCATTGATGTTACTTGAAAACTGGTGGCAACTGCAGAAGTTCACACTTCTTCAGACTCAGCGGGTGAGTACAAACACCATCCCAACATTCTGGTGCTGTTTTTAAATGGGAAGAGGGAGAAATTAATCAAAAGGGGTTAAAAAAAATAATTTAAAAATATGAACGATTTTAGCTATTAATCATTTGACTTTTCCCAAGAGGAATTTCCAGTTTCTTAGGAATATCTGATCCTATTTACAGCACTCAGCAATAAAATTGGTTGCACCAAGGGCACCGCCTCCACACTCAACATGGGGACGTGGGGATGGGCTTGGGGCTCAGACACTGGGAGGTCGATTAAAAAACCAAGGAGACAAAAAAAACCCCCCAACCAACCCAACCCATGGATAATGTTTTGAATCAAAGCTCAGTTTACTATCCAGTTTCACTCCAATTTAATACATCCACTGGAGAAGCCAAACGTGTAGAGGGAGCGTTGGATGTAGCTTTTTTCTGACCAAAGTTCCTCGGTTTCCATTTGATCTTCTGAAGTTGGGTCCTGTAATTAGATGATAATTTGTATCACAATTATGCAAAGCAAATGAGGATTGGATAGCAAAAGAGACCAGAACAAATAAGCACCCAGAACATTTGAAACTCATCCAGGATGGAAACGATGTCCATGTGTGGCTGGGGCCAGGGGGGACATGTTGTTCCAATAAAGCTGCAGAAAGGGAAAAAGCCGGGATCGGTTCCTCCAAAAGTTTCAAACTCTCGTGTTTACAAATTTGTATTGCACATTAATATGTAAACACACCCGATTGGAAACAGATGACTCCGCTGTATATACGTGTCCCTCCCTCTTCATTTGGTGTGTCTATTTGTCTCCTAGAACACAGGGAACATGTAGTGAGGCTTTAAAAACCCAGCTCAGGCAGCTCAGAAAGAGCTACAGCATCTGAAAGGAGAATTTAAAAATTGCCAGTGCCACGGCAGCTCCCCAGCCCCGGGGTGTATTTTGGCCACGAGGATGATGC